GATTTGGCAGTTTAAGCTGTGGTTACAAAGCGGGAGCTGGCTCGCTGGCTCACTGAGTTGGGAGTTCGGTTCCCTCGCTGTGCCTCCAGGGAGACGAGCCAGCCGGTGAGACCTTGGGCAAGCTGCACAGTCCCAGGGCTCCCCCCCCCCGAGAAGAAGGGGATGGGAAGCCTCTTCTGAGTACTCGCTACTGGAGTACCCTAAGAAGCGTCGCCGTGAGTCAGAACGGACTTGACCGCAGACGATTATTATTGTTGTTGTTGTTTACAGAACGGCGGAGGTTCCTTCGATCTAGCTCCGGAAGGGATTATTCCCGATCGTTGCAGTCTCACGCCGCTGCTCTCTCCCAGCACGGTCAAACTGGACAAGTGAGACAGAGGGGAGCTCCAAACGGAGACCACAACCCGCAGAATCCCGTCTGCCAACTCGGAGTGGCGGGCTCGGCTGGGCGGCTCTGCGGGTTGTATGTGCCGGTTGTCGTTCGGAGAAGGGACTTTTTCAAGCTGGGGGAAAACCGTGTCTCTCCTTCCCACCCCCCACCTCCGCCCTCTGTGGCTTGCGGATCACTTCTCTCTGCTTCTTTGCGCGACCCCCTCTCTGCTCGCGGCACCCTGTAATGCGGATTGAGCAGGTTGCTCGGGAAATGGCTGTCGGGGGGGGGCACGGAGTGGCAGGGGAGGAGGAGGCGGATTTGGGTCTTCTCGAGTTCTGAACTGATGACCTTCTGGATAGTTTAAGGCCCGGAAATCCCAAGCGTTTGGGGGTTAGTTTAGAGCAGTGGTTCTCAAACTGGGGTCCCCAGATGTTCTTGGACTGCAGCTCCCAGAAATCCTGGCCAGGTGAAGGCTTCTGGGAATTGCAGTGCAAGAACATCTGGGGACCTCAGTTTGAGAACCACTGCTCTAGAGCAGTGGTCCCCAACCTTGGGCCTCCAGATGTTCTTGGACTTCAGCTCCCAGAAATCCTGGCCAGCAGAGGTGATGGTGAAGGCTTCTGGGAGTTGTAGTCCAAGAGCATCTGGAGGCCCAACGTTGGGGGCCACTACTCTAGAGGACCTTTCGAACCCCTTGGAAATCCATGGCTCTGCGCGGAAATGTCTCCTTCCACAGACGAGCCATGAGGGATTTGCGGGGAGGGCGGCGCGGAGAGGAAAGGATCCGTTCAACTTGTTTTGTTTCTGTTTCCAAGTGATGGCAGGCGGGTGGGGTGGGGGTGAGGGGAAACGCGGGCCACTAAATCATGCGCCCCCTCCTCTCAGCTGCCACCTGAATTCCTTACGGAGGAAAGTCCTGTGTGCCAGGACGCCTCAGAAGCCCACAGCTGGGAGGCAGCTTTGAAGAAATCGGATCCCCCGCCCGCCCACACCCAGGGAGCGTTTACTCTAACCTTTCAAGTCCATCTCACTCCCCGGCCTTTCCCCCGATCGACCGACCGATCCCCATCCCCTCCCGTCTAACATAACCTTGTCCCATTATACTCGCACAGACAGCTCCCCCTTTTTTCCTTTCCAATTAAAGTGGAATTAGGAAACTCAATCAAATTAGCTCACTATTAAAGCCCTTCATTATTAAACCGTTTTATTGTAGTTATATTACATTTCAACCACTTTCGGAACCTGAGATTTAAAAAAAAACACACATTTCCCTTGTGATATTGATTTGACCGCCCGCAGAGACTGAGTCGAGGAATTAACTTAAAAGTGTAACCTGTAATATTTCACCACACATGGGATGCAATCCTAGACACACTTACCTGAGAGTAAGCCCCACTGAATCCAAGAGGGTTTACTCCTGAGCAGACGCGTCTAGGATTGCACGGAGAGCCCTAGCCCACCATCACAGCCACCCCCTGAAACTTTTCAAGGAAATTATCAAAAAAAGGAAGAAGGAAAAAAAAACAACGCTGAGGAGAGAAAATTCTAATGTACTGGTTCAACGCCGTCCTCCCTTTTTCCTATTTCTGCTACTACTACTACTGTTACTACTACTAGGGCTACTACTGTTATTTCTCTGCTTTGTAGTTGTTTCCCATAACTACAAAGCGGTCCACGTTTCTGCCCATCCACCCCAATATATTAACTGGTTATAAGAGCAGTGCCGTCAGACTCAAGCCAATGTTTACACAGTTATATTTGAAGTGAGAAAGTAAACAGTCCAGCTGCGCTACAGAACAGTTGGGTGGGATTAGGTTTCCATACCAACCAATTTTAGGAGCTTTTACAGTCTTAATTCAACCATGCACTGAACTTGTTCTTTGTGAGTAATAGTTTTCGTGGGCCAAACACTCCCCAGGATGGAGAAGAAAATCCCTCCTGTATAAGCACTGCTATTCTGGAAGGTACAGTACGAAATTCCTGCCGGCTTTGTTGTCTGTCCTTCTTACCTACCCGGGACAAAAGGAAAGAGAGCGCTGTGTTTCAAATCCTAAAAGTACACCCGAACGATCGGATTTTTCAAGAAGTAACTCTTCAGAAATCCTCAATGCTACTAAACAGATTATTTGAAACTTACTAGGATTCATTCGTTTCTAATAAATTCTCTTTCCACGAAAGGCAAGGGCGGCTAACTTGAATAAACTTTAAAGGAAGCTATCTTTGTATTGGGGTGCTGGTCAATTTCACGCAAAGAATAACTGTCCACGGATGACAAAACAAAAAACGATCACTTCTGAAGGTGGAGATATATTCTTTCTCCCTGAGTACCACAAAGAAGGGGAGACCTTTTTTTAAAAAAAATGCTAAACTCGATCTAATTAGCGTCGGGTTGGTTTTTAACCGAGGAAAAGGGCTTATCGTATCACAGGCTACTTCTTTCTTTATCCATAGCAGCACTGCACAATTTACAGGTTAAAAAATAAAAAAAATGTTAAAATATTTAGACGAATTTTTTTTTACCAGAAGCGGGCTAGTTCAATGGCTTTATCTTGGCCAATTATTAGATCTTCTTTTGTACACGTGGTGGCTTCCATAGGCTCCTTCTACGTCTCCGAAAGCTATTACAGAATTTGGCAAGTCAGTAACTAAATGTAATTGCATCTAACGAAAGGGAGCTGCAGTCCATGAGTACTCATGCCGAGTCAAAGGGGTATGAGTATATCACAACCTTGCACTTGACAAAGCAAGCCTATAGCATCTGCTCAAAAGAAAGTTCCATTGAGTTCAGGGGGCTTTACTGCCAAGTAACATTGCATAGCATTCCAGACTTGGAATTGGTTTGACTGAATCTTTCTGAGTTCCAAATACTTAGGATAGCAGCGTCTAAAATAAACATTAAGGAACACTTTAAAAATACAGTCACTTGTAGAAAAGGAAATACATAAAATACTTTTTAAAAGGCAGAACCAGTGATTTGTTTTCAAAATCATTTTTTAAAAATGACAACCTTAAGAAGAATGTTTTCCCTTTTTGGAACTGTTCTGTTTTCAACACTGCCCTATGTGTACAGTAGTGTATAGCCCTCCCTTCTAATTGTATATTTTAAATGTGGTGTGATCATTAACTTTTTAATAAGTAATGTTTAAACTTAAACTGTGAAAGGACCCAAATCCACAAATGGGTCAGAATTATCTTAATTCAGATACACTCGTTGTCTCAAATAAGCCAGTTACTATCAGAAAAATCTTCATTTTCCTATTGATTTGCATCGAAAGGCAAACACCACAAAATTTAAAAAAAAACAGCAGGAGGTACTGATAAGGCAGGTTTTTAATACAAAATAACATTTATTTCTAGGATTTCTATGAAATGAAAACATAGAGAAAAGACTGAAACAGCAAGAAGTTGGCTTCACTGGAACCAGACAGCAGATATATGTATATATATTTTCTTGTGGATCACTCATTAAAACGGTGTCAATCACAGACTTTGGAGAGAGTCCAAAGAACAATTACAAATATATCTACTTTTCAACTTTATTTACAAATCGTACTTTCCCCCAGTGAATGAATAAAAAGAACCGTTAAAGTTCTTTACAATATATTGTACTCTCTATGCTTGGTGAATTTTAACCAGAATTTTTTTTAACTTTTTAGTTTACCGTTAATACAAAATCCACCTACAAATTACATTAATAACTTAAGATGCCCGTCTTATAACATTATACTCTAGTATACAGATATAGATATATGTGTGGATAATGCACCAGGAGAAATATCCATGCTTCTGGGAATAAACAAAAAGATTTTTTAAAAAATGATTGACAACTTTAACAATAAAACTGCATTTTGCCTTTTTGAAAAGTTAAATACACCTACGAGTTTGTCAAGTCCCACTCATTTGACTGTTTCCGTTGCAACAAATTGTGAAATTAAATCCTGGCCGCCTAGAAATCGGTGGCAATTCACGGTTCGGGGCGAAGGGGAATCTTTAACTCGCATTGTTACTCGCAGAAAGCAGCAGGTCCATTCTCCAAAATGGGTTTCCTTAGATTCTTACAGATTTTTAAACTTTCCTGTTCTTTCATTTCGAAAACAACCCGGCCTGTTTTACATTCGTTGCTAATTGTCCCATTTGTTAAAAAGGGAAACGGGAATGCATTTTTAAAAAATTGATTGCTACCTGAAACGGAAAAGGTCAAAACGCTTCTTGGGTCTAACCGCCAGTCTTAAAGGTAGAAATGGCTTTCATTGTACGTTCACAGGAACTATGATTTGCGTTCAAGGGAACTTATCTGTAGGAGAGGAGCTTCGCCTCTCTGCCTGTACATGTTATATAACAACGGCTGCGATCCGCGCGGGAGAAAGAAAATAAAAAAAAACCTCTTGGTTAGCCCGTCTCATTCAAGAGACCGGGACCTCGGATTCGCACGTCTCAAATTTCTCTGATCTGTACATCGTGGGCGTGGGCGTGGGCGTGTGTGTGCGTGTGTGTGCGTGCGTGTGTGTGTGTGAGTGAGTGAGTGAGTGAGTGAGTGAGAGCGTCTTCCTGTGCCTATGATTTACATGGCGAGAGCGGCCCGTCCTTCGCCCGGGCCTCGGGGCCTACTGTTTCTCGGGGGCGCTGTTCACCAGGGGCCCATAGAGCCCGTTCGGGTAGCCCTGCTCCTTGTGCGCCCCGGCGGCGGCCGCAGCGGCTGCGGCAGCGGCGGCAGCGGCGGCGGCGGATCTGT